TGTAGTTTATCATTAACAGGAACACAGTGGAAAGAAACTATAACATTCAGATCGTCTGCACTGGAAGGAACTACTTCCTCTTTCATAGTCATGTGTGAAACACGGCTGTATAAATGTGTGGCAGCCCCTGGTGTGCGCACTCACAACAATAGCTGAGCGTAAACGGAGTCATGTGTGGACGTATTTTACCTCCACAAACAGCAAAGACGTGGTTTGCGATACATGTGGCAAGACAGTGAGGTGCTGTGGCAACACCACTAACCTCATCAAGCACCTCAGAGTGAATCAGATCACAGAATATGACGAACTGAAGAGGAGGAGGAGAGGGACAGGTGCTGCTAGGGCGAGACAGGCGTCTCTCACGGAGTCCTTTAGTGCTGCAGGCAACGTGTTCAAATAACGCACAACTTCAGGTTCTTATTTCTATATGTTAATTGTTTATTATTAAGTGATAAGAACAAGTAATCTGATGTCCTATAAGCATTATGAAGCTATAATTTGAGACACAATAAATAAAATAAGTTTTTGTACAAAGTATCGGATCAGTATCGTCGACATCTGAATATTACGTGTATCAGATCGGACAGGAAATCGGTGGCATCGCACATCACTGCTTCTTCATGCCGCAGCTCCGCTCTCTGCGCTTCATCATCTGATTCATCTGATTTCTTATGGGGGTAAAAAGAAGCCAGTTTAAAATGAAACAAAAAAAATATTGGCATTGAAAAATAATACTGTAAGTGAAATAAAAAACCTCATTGAAACTCTAAATATAGACATTAAAACAAATAATTCCCAACCAAGTCGCCCTTTTCTCCACCGCTTGTGTCGCCATCTTGTTCTTTCGATCACCACAGAAAGCTCGTGACCACAGGTGAGAGTAAGGATGAGACTGGTCTGTAAATTGAGAGCTTAGCTTAGCTCTCTCTTCAATGAATCGGTGCAGCGTGTAGACCAGTGTAATGGATTAGAGTGAAAATGTGCTAGAGACAAATGTGAAGCAGAATTACAGAAACTGAATGAAACTCAGCACTGATGTCAGCTCCACCAACCTCCTCAACCAATCCAGCATAGTTCAAAAGTTCACAATAACATTCATATTTCCATAAGTTGAAGCTCTAAACCCAGTTTTGCTGTAAACTATCTGCATTGTGATAACGGATAATGAACATTTCCTGGGGAAATAATTATCCATGTTCCAGATGACTTTGTCTTGAAACCACATGCAGTGTGTGACCATGACTGTTCACTGAGACCATGAACGCCACTTTGCTGAAGCATTCTTCTTCTTCTTGCCATCATACTGGAAGCAGACAGAGCACGAGCTGCTTTGATCCACTGAAAGGAAAAAGCAGAACA